TCGGGTGTGAAAACAACCTAACACTGTAAACTCCAATGAATCAAAAGTTTAATTTTTATTAATACTTGAACATTTTGTTCTTGGTAATAACTTGTAGCATACAGGTGCCAGCCCTAATGCAACAGTTCAGAACATTTGAAATCTAATTCTGTGAAATGATTTTGAACAGTTAACATCTTACCTGTTGTAGATAGCTTTTTGAGCAGCTCTGGTTTGGGTAAATGAGATTTATTTCTAAACTGATAGACGAGCTAATGGCTAATAGTCTGAATAATGCCAAGACCAAAGTAGACTGCTGTCATTTTTAAAAATCTCTAATTGCAATAGCTATTTATGCTAACGTTATTTTACCATCCTTTACATTAATCATCATTATCAGTTTTGTACTACACCGTTATGCACAATGAATTCTATGGTCATTTGCAAGAACAAACAGTGGAAGCAGCAGCTAGTTGTAGCACTTCCAGTGCAGTATTTCAGTATAATTGTGCAATATAAAACGGATAGTGAATTCAATTCAATTCACTTCGCCAAGTCACAACAGAAGTCATCTCAGGGCGCTGAACAGAAACAGTCATATATACAAACAATAATTTAACATTCTTTATCTGAGGAGCAGACTGCTTTGAGTTTAACTCCATCACAGACTCTCATCTTGAGCAAGCATGAAGGCGACAGTGGAAAGGAAAAACTCCCTCATGAGGAAGAAACCTTTAGCAGAACCAGGCTCGGGACAAGCGACCATCTGCTTCGACCGGCTGGGTTTAGTAAGAACAGATACACAATGGCAGGTCAAGAATCACATGTTAAGATAGAAATAATATCAAATGAAAAATATTCAATTTTAGCAATTCATTCAAGGAAATGAGGTCAGTTTTTCCTCCAGTAGTCTAAGTCTATGGCAGCATAATAAGCCAACTCTAACTATAGGATTTATCAAAAAGGAACGTCTTAAGCCCAGTCTTTAAACTGGACAATGTGTCAGCCTCATGAACAGAAACTGGAAGTTGGTTCCACAAGAGAGGAGCCTGATAACTGAAAGATCTTCCTCCCAATCTGCTTTTAGAAACTCTAGGAACCGCAAGTAAGCCTGCAATCTGAGAGCGAAGTGCTCTGTTAGGAAAATATTGAACAATAAGTTCTCAAATATACGATGGAGCTAGGTTGTTGAGAGCTTTGTAGGTTAGAAGTAAGATTTTGAATTCTGGATTTGACAGGGAGCCATGGAGAGAAGCTAAAAGTGGAGAGATATGATCTCTCCCACTAACTCTAGTTAAGACTCTGGCAGCAGCATTTTGGATCAACTGAAGACTTTTTAAATAAGTTTTTGGACACTCGGATAATAAACCATTGCAATAGTCCAGTCTATACGTGACAAATGCATGGACCAGTTTTTCTGCATCTTTTTTAGAAAAGATGTTTGTTTCTAATTTTAGCGATATTACGCAGGTGGAAGAAGACGGCTCTAGTAACATTTTTAATGTGGGGGATAAAAGACATGTCCTGATCAAAAAAACACCAAGATGTTTAACATTAGAGCTGGAGGCCAGATTAATGCCATCTAAGGAGGGAGAAAGACTGAAAAATTAATTCCTAAGGTGCTCAGGTCCAAAAACCAAAACCTCAGTCTTGTCTGTGTTCAAAAGCAGAAAATTTAGGGTCATCCAGGTTTTCATGTCTTTAAGACATGCTTGTTGTAGTCTAAGTAGCTGATTGGATTCATCGGGTTTCATGGACAAATATCAGTATAACAATTAAAAAAATTCCCATGCCGTTTAGAAGATTCATTTTTACATTTAAAAATTGGAATCTATCAGATAAATGTGATTTAAAGCAATTTAGAGCCGTTCCTGTAATTCCAATATCATATTCAAGTCTCCATAGTAGAATATTGTGATCAACTGTATCGAATGCAGCACTGAGGTCTAACAGGACCAGTGTAGACACCAGTCCATTGTCAGAGGCCGCGAGAATATCATTAATAACTTTCACCAGTGCAGATTCAGTGCTGTGGTGAGCTGTAAACCCTGACTGAAACTCTTCGAACAGATTATTTCTTTGCAGATGATTACGAAACTGACATGCAACTATTTTCTCTAGATTTTTTTTAGATGAAAGTTAGATTAGATATAGGTCTATAATTGGCTAGGATTCCTGAGTCAATATTATGTTTTCTTAAGTAAAGGTTTAATTACAGCAATCTTAAAGAGTTGTGGTACAAAGCCATATCTACAGTGATCGAATTAGACATGAAAATACAAAAGCTGATAGATAGTTGGAATTTTACAAAAAGGGGAAGCCTGAATTTCTAAATAATTATAATCAAAATAATTTCTAATAATTTCTAAATAAAAGAGGTGAGCTAGTCTGGGAAGCTCAATCCTCACCTCCTTCTACAGGTGTGCAGTGGAGAGGATCCTGTGCTCCATCATCAACGTGTGGCATGGAGGCTGCACAGCTGCAGAAAGGAAAGCTTTGCAGAGAGTGGTGAAGGCTGCACAGAAGACTGTTGGAGTCAGTCTCACCACCATCACAGACAGGGCGACCTGCATCATGAAGGACCCCACTCACCCAGTCAACACACACACTTTTTTTCTCCATTCCTCTCAGGCAGGAGGTTGAGGAGCATTAAGTGTAGAATAACCAGAGCAGGGGTCTGCAACCTGTGGCTCTGGGGCCGTATGTGGCTCTTTGGTGCTTGGTCTGCGACTCCTTGAAGCTTGACCAAACATAATGCAAAATGTATATTCATTGATTTTTATACCCACCATAAAGAGAAATGGCAAGATTAAGCAGTTTTTCGGCAAATGTTTGAAATAAATTACTAAAACAAGGAGAAAATAATGTTGATTAGCTTCAGCCACTTCATTTATCCAACCTCCCGTCTTACAGTGGGATGTTTCTCTCAAAACGACCTGAAATTCTTTGGAAAATCTTTTAGGACAAGCTGCCTAAAATAAATATGGCGAATGAATGAATGAATGAATGAATGATTGATTGAACTAATTAAAATTAAAGTACCAGTAAATACAAAGTTTGTTTTTAAATTAACATTTTAATAAGTTACAATTACATATCCAACAAAATGGACCTGTATTTATACAGACTACATTTATGTTTTACTACTTTAAAGTGGGATACATACTTATTTTTTATTTTTCTAAAATTAAAAGGAAGACTCACACAAACCTACAAAGTTTCGGGTTAAATTTGTTTTGGTAAAATTGGTATGAAATGTGTATTTTTTCCTCTTGAATGTGGTCTTTTCTTAAGCCCTAAACTGTAAAATTATTAATGTTGAAATCCATTATATAATTTTTGTTTTATAAAGTCACCCCCACTGGCTGGAAAACCCCCCCAAAAAAAACCTTCATACAAATTTGAAGTGGCCCATGAGCCACCAGTTGATGATCGCTGTAGCAGATTTTGCAGCTCCAGCCACATTTAGTTTAGTAAATGAAGGTTAGAAACGAGTCTTTTGATTTAAAAGGTTGCAGACCTCTGCACTAGACTGAGGAACAGCTTCTACCCTGAAGCTATTACACTCAGAAATCTCTAACCATGATTATCACTGTTAATTGGAGATATGTCACTTTATCCATGCTGCTGATTTCTTGCCTTTAAGCTGCTGTATTCATACCCTCTGCTCACTACAGATTCATGTTCAGGCTGTATTATTTTACATTAGTATTTTTTAGCATATATCTTAGATCCTTATATACTGGGTTTTTTTTTTATACTTTATATTTTTGCTATTTTGGTTGTAACTGGGACCTTGAGTACACAATTTTGTTCCACCCCATGTACCATGTAATGCGAATAACAATAAAGAACCTCGAAGCTTGAAATAAATCAAAGAACAATTATATTTGATATAAAGTGACATGGCTACAGTTTCACGTGATAGAAAATAAATGAGCTTGTCACATGTTTGAGGACTAAGCAAAGGTTGGTCTCACTTCCCCTAAACTTTATTCCGCACAAAGCGATTTACGTCATATTGTTTTTTTATCTTTGTTGATCAAATCTGTAAATGAACCCATCTGACATTATTTGTTTCCTTTGCTGTAATGAGGAATGATGACGTGGGACTTTGCTTTCACCGAGGAAGGTAGAAACGTGATAGAGGAAGTGTTTGCTTCTTAGTTTAGATGTATGGAAACCACAGCCTGAGTTCCTGTATATTGTTTGCATTTGGGGATCCCTGCAGCTCCATAATAAGTCTTTTTCCTCCACTTGGTGTCCATTTGTAGTTTGAGGGTTTTCCTCTGGCCTGTTTCAGTCAGGGTTTCTCAAACAACCACGACTTGTTACTCCCTGGTTCATTTTTTGAAAGTGACTGAAATCATGTGAATACGATGAAATTTCACCAAACAGTTAGTCGTGACAGCGTTTAATCATATATGCAAAATAAAAAGTACATTCAGTCTTCATGGTACACAATAAATAAATAGTCTTTTTCAAGTAACATCTTATAAATAGTCCCTGCTGGCTCTACAAGTAAAATGTACTTCCCGAGCCGGGTGAAATAGAAACACAAAAGGATAACATGTTTTGTGCCTTTCTGAGTTTGTGAAATCAGTAATTTATGACAAAAAAACCCCGATCAGTCCTTCACAAATGTTAGTCTCCCCTGCATTGAAATTTGGGTTTGAACAAAGATTTGAAGAAACTGAGCGTGGGTGAGAGGCAACTCCTTTGAGCTGACGTTCAAATGCGAGTAAATGTCAAACCATTTCTTCTCAGCGCTCTTCATGTCTGTTTCACTTCCTGCTGTAAAAACGCAGCAGCTGAGGGAGGTTTGAATAAAGTCTCTCTCTTTCTTTATTCTCCCAGCTTGTGCTCAATAACAACATGGCGCATGCCGAGTTTTCTCCTCCGAGATGTTTTATTCTCCATTTCTTCAGAGTTCTGCGCACGTTGCATTACAGCGAGGGTGACATGTAGGACCGGTCGCGTCAGTAATGTTTTAAAATAGTGTTGTTGCATTCTTCAGCGCATTAGTCATTCATCAGCTCTACGTCACAGAGCGAGAGGGAAACGTTGTTCATACTGAAGTCCTGCTCGCACTTTGTTAAGGCCAGAGACGTCAGCAGAGGAAACGTCTCGCTCATTTGAAAGAAAGCTGTGTCTAAATCCTCTATGGTGACAGCGTCCACGTGTGTTTTACTAGAATAAGTTGGAAATGTCTCTTTGCGTTTGTAAGAGTTTAAGTCAATTTTGCTGCCCAGCAGTCCGTTTTCAATACACACAACTCTGTGTTGTTTCGTGACTTCGCTTCCAAAATGGCCGCATTTGTGGCACCAGCTGCACTGACCCGCTCCTGAGCAGATACAAGACTGAGGCCCAGCTCTGTACCCGCTTAGCACTTTGTCCAAAATCAAGTGTGCAGGTATTTGTTTCAACATGTCCTCGCCGTCTCCGACCTGCATGTGCACTTCAGAGAGGCCCTGGCTGTGATAATTTCCTACACTGACGGTTTTCACAAGAGGCTCACTGTCCTTGCCCTCCAGGTTCAAAGAAGAAGAATCAAGCTGGCAGCTCATGTCCACCCCGCTGTCTTCTCCCTTCCTTATTCCATCTGTTTTCATCCTTTTCTCCTGCGGGGGGTAACAGATCTGATTGTCAGAGGAGCTCTCTGGTCCTCCCATGCTCCCACAGCCACTGTCTTCTTGTCCCGCTGGAGGCCTTTCTCCATTTTCTGTAGCAGAGTCTGCCTCCATGCTGAACCCACTGTCGACGCTGGTTTTCCTGTTCTCCTCCTTGATGTGCGCTGTAACATCATGGCTCACGGGGAGTTTGGGAGCGTTGTCCATCTCTGTTCTGTAACTGGAAAGAAACCATCCTTTGTCTGTAACTACCTCCATGATTCCTTCAGACACAGACAGGGGACGCCAGCCGCTCACAGGGGATTTCTAATACAAAGCAAGAGAAGACAAACAAACATTATATAAAACCTGTGATTAATCTACCACTGTTTAATACTTGTTGACATCTGGGTAACTTATGTGCTTACCAATGCAGCGGGTGTTTTTGCAGGACATCTCAGATAACACAAGAGAATGCTTGATAAAATGGCAACAATGGACAGGCATCCCAGAATAGATAAAGAGGATACAGCGATTACGAAGAACTCTAGAAACAAAGCAAAATGACAGAATTATGGAATCAGTAAATGAATATGTCCCCACATTAGAATGTTGAGATTGTATCAGATTTAGTCTGTGCCGTTGTCAAAATTATATTCGGGCTTAAAGTGATAGTTCAGTTCTTTTGAAGTGTGGTTTTGTAGAAAGGTTATGAATAATGACTATCTTACCTGTTGTAGATAGCTCTTTAAATAGTGTCAGTTTGGATGAACAGAGTCTATTTTTGACCTGATCAATGAGTTATTAAAGAATAGTCGGAGCATAGTACTGGCTAAACCCTGCCGTCTTAAAACAACTCTCAAAAGTCTCATTGCAGATCATGGAAATCTTTTCCAAAAACCTCTTCATTGATTTCAGTTTTGTATTATACTGTTGTTTACTCAGAATTCCTTGATTATTTGAAGCTTCAAATAGCAGCAGCAACAAGCTGCCTTTCTTTCATAGCAGCTGAGGACACTTCCAGTAGGAATAATCTGGCAGTTCTACCACATAAGCCATCTACTGCAAATTAGGGATGTATAAGTATTTAAAACAATGTTTGTTTTGAAGTATTAAGAAATATTTGAGACTGAAATTGTTTTAGAATGGCAGTGATCCACTTTGAACTTGGCCCTGCTCAAACTATTACCTATTAGCTCATCAATTTAGTCAGAATTCAACTCAGTTTCTCCAAGAAAAGCTACCTAGGACAGGTAAGATATTACTTCTTCAAAACCCATCCATAGAACTGAACCTCAAAAGGTTCAAACTATCCGTTTAAGAAAAAAATTATACTCTATAGTTTTAGTGGAGCTCTATGTTGACTTGAACAACTTCAGTAGTAACTTTTTTTTAACCTTTTATATTTATTTATACAATTTAATAACTGATGGGATCTTACGTTCACATGCAATCAGTGAGAAATGTTTGTTGGTTTGTGTTGCTGTTTATGGTTCTTACCTTGCTCTGGGAGGAGCAGACACTGTTGGTCAGAGACATCACTTGCAGAGAGACCTCCTTTAGCTTCCACTTTGATGCTGATGCAGTACTTTCTTTTCCAGTGGAGACCAGTAAGAGTTTTTGTCCTCTGATCTTCTCCACCGTCATCTTCCAGGTAAACTGTAGTCGTCTGAAAATTAAAAACAATGATTACTTTAAAAAAAACTAGGAATGCATGATATGGGAATTTTGGCCAATATCCAATATGCCCATATGTTAAACAATATTTGGCTGATAACCGATACCAATACCAATTTTTTTTTCCCTCCTACAACTACTCACAGAGACTATATAGCTTTCTCTGCTGTGGAATTAAGCTACTACATTATTCTGCATGGTCTTTGTCAATTTGGCCTGATACCAAATGCAGATGCCAAAATGGGGGCTGAAAATAATGTAACACTTCAACTTGGATTATGTTTAATGTCAAATTTATTCATGACATTTACTCTCTCTGACACAATGACAACACTCGAACACTGCAAATTTATACATTTTCACAAATCTGAACTCAACCTGTTCACAAGTGACAAGGGATAAGTACATAAGTAGTAGTGCATTAATACTTGATAGTTTCTTAAATGAAAAATTAAGTTAAAACAGAAGCCTTTTATATCTGTAAAATATTTTGATGGAATTGGTGATATTTAACTTTATCGCTAATATCGATACCATGCAGATAATATTGTGCATCCCTATAAAAAAACCAAAAACTTTCTCCTAAATGACCCATTTTTATCTTTTAGCTTATTGTCTAAAGTGTGCATTCAGACCTTAAAACCCACCTTATTGTCTTGTTCCGCTATGTAGATAGTGTATGTGACTCCAAATGGAAAGAGTTTTTTCAGAATGGGTTTCTCATGTACATGAACTGTCAAGGTGCTGGATGTCGCCCACAAAGAGAAGAAGGGAGGAAGCAGCTGACCTATAGATAAAGCATGATCATAATAATAATTTACTAATCATTATGTAACTAAATAATGTTTCACTGACACTAAACTGAAATACTTACTTTGATTTGGATAAAACCTTTTCTGTATCCACGTGGAGTGTTTATCTCCTGCTGCCAGCTGCACTCTGACCTTGTAGCAGGTGCTGTAGTCTTGAATTAAACTGGTAAGGTGGCAGAAGGTCTCTGTGATTTTGGAGCAGCTGGTAACCTCAGCCCACTCATCAGTGTATCTGAAAGAAAGGGAACTCACTGGTCATCAAATGGGACAAAAAGACACACTGGATCAGATAAAATGTAGAATTTTCAAAATAATCTGCGCTCTGAAAAATATAATATAATATAATCTGTTCAAACACGGGAAACAAAAGGAGAAGGACAGAAATAAAGGCTAATAGGAATGATTGAACAGAACATTAAATTTTAGGAAAAGTGGTACTGAAATTTAAACTTACTTTGCCATTTGTACATTATACACAAAATCTGATGAGACGTCCAGGGGATCTTCCCAAAACATTGTCACCTCCCCATCTGATATGATCACTTCCATTTTCTCAGGCGGGGAGATGTTTGTTCCTGTGTCAAAAAAAAAAAAAAAAGAAATTTATTTCTTACATCTGCTTTTGCACAACCATTTCCATTTCCTTACATGTAAAGCACTTCTTTGCGTGCGTAATAGGAGAGGAAACATTTCCGCAGTCTGGTTTTTGAGCTTTAATTCAAATGAATACTAAATATATACTGAGAGTTTTTTTTTTTAATGTTCCTCCAAAAATGTGATCAAAAGAAGAAAAGGAAGTTGTGTTGACAAAAACAGATGTGATCTTGAAAACAGTTTATGGGATGTGTCGTCATAAAGGTGGTGATTTTTTTGTTTATATATATTTTGTAAAAGGGAACTTATTGTCACCCATTTCTGTGTTAATTAATTATCAAACTGTTGGAGCTAAAATATGTAAATTTTTCTAATTTGAGAAATTATGCCACTCATAATGATTTTTAAATTATAATAAATCATTTTTACAGCTTTCTCATAAACTCAATTCAAATCATTCCTAAATGACCAAAAGCACACACAAAAAAGGCAGAACAAGACAAAATAAAATTATTATTATTATATATTAAAGTGAATAATTACCTGACACTTGATTTATGTGGAGAATCAAGAAGATGAAAATTGGCATCTTGTTTTTTAAATCCATTTCGCTTGTCTCAAATGAATCCTTTCAGTAGACACCAACAGAGTCCCTTGATCCAAACATCCGAGTAAACGCATGTGACTAACATTAAAGTGTGGTTGGACAGAAGGGACACAGCTGACTCCAGATGATGCTGTGTTGTCAGTTCATCAGAGAAATAAATAAAACTTCTCTAAATCTCCCCTTCAATCTGTTCCTTCCCTCTCTGATGATGTGTTTCCTGTTGTGACAGCATCCTTGACGCTCTTGTTAGTTTCACATCCCTCCCCCCTCTCTCTCTGCCTCACCTTCCTCTTTTGCTCTGACTATTTTATTTTATTTTACTTTTCCACACAGCTCACAGCACATGCAGGAATCTAAATAGAAAAATGTCAGGTATCCCACTTTTACGGTTTATGCAAACAAAAACTGCATTTTCTGGTCTTGCAGGTTAATTTGCATGGTTTAAATTCCTTGTTTTTATAAAATCGAACATTAAAATTGATTAAACAAACACACATTAGGCTTGTTTTTAATTTTATTTTCCTGTGAGCATCTTTGATCAAAAATGGGCCTTTTTCTGTAACATCTGCAAAGTTTCATTTACAGTCGGTTGCATGCAGATCGTTTTTTTTGCAAAGACACAATAAGCTTACATTTATTGCACCAATAATATGTATCAAAATACTTACATTTTAAATGTTCATCTGCAACAAAGCATGATTCATAGAGAAACAGGGTCATTAGTTTAATTATTGCATTTAGTGTTTTAACATGTGTTGTTAGCCTGCTGGACGTGATAACTCTTATCTACAATTTAAATTTAACATGCACTTTTAAAATGTGTGATACTCCAAAGCAGTGAGCTTTAAGCTAATCATTGAACAACTTTGGTTTTTATCTTAAACCACAGAGTATCTATCTCAATGACTCATCTTATGTACACATTTGTCTGCTATTGCTTTTCTGTGAATTTTCAACAAAACTAGCATTTTAGATGTGATTTAGTCAATTTTCATAGTTTCTCATAATTTTATCATGCGGGCGTTTCCTAAATGTGCCATAGACATCTGTTTTTTTAATGATAAGGTGCTTTACATGAACTAATGCAGGTTAAATTCTGCATTAGTTCATGTAAAACTGCATTAATAAACCATTTTAATAAGAAACGCAGACGGAAGTTGCACTCAGGGAGCTGCATCTCTTCAGAGTTTCATAGAATGTAGAATTCATTCGATTTAATATGCAGCTAAATTTGCAAACAAATGCTTTCAATTCTGAGAAACAACAGTTTTCTGAATTTTTGTTTCTCGCCTCCTCTTCACATGTGACTTTTTAAAGTTTTGGTTCCTGGTAGGAGTCCTCTTGCAGACAAACCACTTGTCTGTCTCACCTTTTGGTTTCTGTCGCATATGGACAGAGAAGTGCTGAGTGAATGTGAGCTGTGGAAGGTCCAAATGTCACAGTTTTTTTTGCGTTTGAGAAGGGAGGGCTTTTTCAACATAACATCTGTTTGAGGGGGATTTCCCCACTTTTACCACAAGAACACTGTAGGAGAACTTGTATAATGTTACCCTCTGGTGGTAGCTTTGAAAACACGACAAGTCCAACTATTGTGAAGCTCTTCAGAAGCTCATCACATCACTCACACAGACTCTAACCTTGAGCATTCATTCAACCTTTATCTATCATACAAGCTAGCCTCATTGAGTCACGAGGACTCATTTGCAGAGAGACCTCTGTTAAACAAGAACACAGATGAGGTACAGACAACAATAGACACTCATAAATGCATATAAAATGAAAAGTAAATCAAATAAATTATATTAAAAGACATCTACAATACGGGCAGCACGGTGGCGCAACTGGTAGAGCTGCTGCCTCTCAGCGAGCAGGTCCTTGGTTCAAACCCCGGTCCAGGGGCCTTTCTGGGTGGAGTTTGCATGTTCTCTCCGTGCATGCGTGGGTTTTCTCCGGGTACTCCGGTTTCCTCCCACAGTCCAAAAACATGCATGTTAGGCTGATTGGTAACTCTAAATTGTCCCTAGGTGTGAGTGAGAGAGTGAATGGTTGTTTGTCTCGTTTGTCTCTATGTGTCCCTGTGATGGACTTGCGACCCGTCCAGGGTGTACCCCGCCCCTCGCACAGTGATTGCTGGACATGGGCACCAGCGACCCCCGTGACCCAAAATGGAATAAGCGGGTAAAGAAAATGGATGGATGGATGGAACATCTACAATACAAAGCAACGTAAAATACTAAAAACAGGAACATGTCTTCGTTGGTTTTGCAATAAACTTAACAGTTGTTAAAAATCCATGAAAGAGGTCAAAGTCGACAACTTCAGATCTTTTTACAAGTTATTCCAGGTTCCAGAAGCAAAGTAAGAGAAAGCCCTTTTGCCAAATTCAGTCTGCACTGAGGGCATGCTGCAGGTAATTATGTCTTCAGAGCGCACACTGTAGCTGCACTGATGAAGCGATATGTAGGAGATGTAGTTGATAGTAGTTTTGCAGTTGATCTTAGTTTTTAGCTAAGTTTTTTTAATTATTTTTTTTCTTTTTATTTTTTTATTAATTCATTTTGCTTTTGTATAGTAATTTTGTTTGGAATATATTTTGGGGACAAGGGGCAGATGTTATAAGAATTCATTCTTCTTCTGCTGCCTTTCATTTTATTTCGGTGATTGTATATCTTTTTTCTTTCTTTAAATTGTATTATATTTGTTGTTTGGATGAAATGAAATGAATAAATAAAACATACATACATACATACATGTATGAAGGCACTAGACCAAGGAGTGATTTAAAGATGAAAATGTACCAGTGTGAAAATCTGTGAAGTTGATGACCAGCTGACCAGTGATTACAGGGTGCAGTGATGGGTGCGGTAGTTGCAACCAGTTATGAATTTTAGTGTGCCGTGGTTGACAGCATCCAACATCTGCAAGTTGCTTGCAGGAGCAACTGATGATGAACTGTGACAGTAGAAATGATAGAAATCATGAAGAGACTGCAGAGATTATGGAAAAAAAAGTTTTTTTTTAGTTTTTTTTTAGTTGTTGTTGATGATGATGACTCATTCTGGGCCATCTAGCATGATTACATACCAAAACTTGATGTGGCAAGAGCTGACAGTACAACAAACCAGCCACTAGGGAGCACTAGCCAGTGAATCTCTTGTGCCAGTGCCAATGTCTGGTTAAAGTGTGAGAACTGTGCCAGGAAGTGCATCTCGCTAAAAAGTCTTTTGCCAAAACAAACATGCGAGTTCATCCATATAGTGCCATATAAAATTGGTTGATTCCTGGGTTAATAACTTTCACCTTCTGTGCTGTTGACAAACAGAGTGCAGGCAGAAATTGTGCTACTGTGTGTAGAATATCACGAGGAGGGAAATAAGCCAGGAGACAGAGGAAAAAGAAGAAAATGAAGCATGGTCTGGGGATGGCAACTCTAAACGTGGGGACAATGACAGGAAAAGTTAGTGTCCAAGAGACCAAATGGAAGGTCCATGATTCACAGCATTGGGACAGGGTTTAATGTGTTTTACCATGGTGTGGATTGGAAGAGAAATGAGGAAAGGGCAGTCCTGAAGGAGGAATTTGCAAGGAACATAGTAGAGTTGAAAAGTGTTACATTGATGTGTCTGAAGGTAGAAGAAGAAAGTCTGATCTTGACTGTTTTCAGTGGTTGTGCTCCACAAATTGAAAGTGAGGTAGAGGACAAAGAGAAATCCATCCATCCATCCATTATTACCCACTTCTTCCTTCTCAGGAGTCACTGGTGCACATATCCAGCAGTCACTGTGCAAGAGGTGGGGTGCACACTGGACAGACCACAAGTCCATCACAGGGCCACATAGAGACAAACGAGACAAACAACCATTCACTCTCTCACTCACACCTAGGGACAATTTAGAGTTACCAGCCTAACATGCATATTTTTGGTCTGTGGGAAAAACCCAGAATAGCCAGAGAAAACCCTTGCATGCATGGGAAGAACTTACAAATGCCACCCAGAAAGATCTTACTTGAATGTTATATGACTACAGTGAACTTGAATGTTATGTGACTTAATTATGTGAACAACAGCATGGCCTGATTGCAGGTTTGTTGTCAAGAAAGAATTTCCAGAGTGAAACAATGTCATGACACAGTTTTGTGATGAGTCCGTTCTCTTCAATAACAATCTTCTTGCTGAGAGGGAACATCTACCAGCTGTGCCTTCGTACTCCCCTGGAAGGATTTGGATGAAGTGACAGAGAGTGTTTCCAGGGAGGAAAGAGGGGTGATTGGAGCAGACCTGGCTGAACATGTTGGTGAAAGAAACAGAAGAGATGAGGAAGTGATGCGTAGGTTTGGTGTCAAGAAAATAAACCAGGAAGGACAGATGATAATGGATTTTGCTAAGAGGGTGGAAAGTTTGCACTGTAGTCATAACCTATTTGAAAAAGACGGAGGAAGATAGGGTGACCAGTAAGAGTGGAGGCAGAAGTACACAGGTAGACTACATTCTGTGTAAAGATAACATGAGCATGATTGAAAACTGTAAGGTATTGGCAGGGGAGAGCATGGTAAAACAGCAGTGGATGGTGGTGGGTAGGATGTGCTGTGATGAAGAGAAAAAGAGCAAAGGCAAAGAAGAAGACCACAATGGTGGAAGATGAAGAAGGAAGAATGGTGTGAGAATTTTAGAGAGGATTTATGAGTGGTAAGACAGAGCTTCCAGAGGACTGAGCTACTAGAACAACAGTGATTAAAGAGATAGTAAAGTATGATGTGCTATTTGAACAGTGAAAAGTGACAAGGAAACCTGGCAGCAGAAAAATGAAATTCTGTATGTTATTCAGAGAAAAACATTATCTTAGATGGGACAGTGACATTTACAGAGGTGAAGTCCACTTCGGTGATATTATAGAAGCGGTAACACAGTTTATAAATTTTGGGGAATGTGGATCGATATTGCTCTGTCCTTTTTACATCACGTTAATGTTTTACAATCTAAGGTTAAACCAAGACTTGGTTATCATGACAGAAAATGCTCATTGTTTACAATGGCTGCAAAAGACACCATTGTTGAAAAAAAAAAAATCTACCTCTGTTGGATTATGGAAACATAATTTACAGACATGCTTGTAAGGGTATCCTTCATAAACATGGACACAACTTATCACTCTGCTTTGTTTCACATGCTCCTTATAGAACACATCATTGTCACCTCTATTCTCTTGTTAAATGGCCTTTTCTACATAATCATTGTGAAATTCATTGGTTTACCCCAATTTATAAGACATTGATGGGTTTGTCACTTTCATATTACTAATCTACTGCAACTAGCGCCAGTTTTGAAGTATAACACACAATCCTCTCAGTATTTGTGGTTAAGAACTCTAAAGAACAAGTCTCGCTTTGGCTCTGTGGTCTTTGCCTCTACTGCTTTATCTGACTGGAATCTAATTAAAAAAACTTTGGGTCTGATCTCACTTGTCTCAGTTTCTAGTTTTAAAAATAATTTAAAAGCTGTTTTTAAAGATATTTGCAAATGTTTTCTAGCTTAGTACCGGTAATGTTATCATTTGACTTTGACTATGAACTGTTGTTATTGTAATTAGTGATTTCCTTGTTTGCTATTGGTGGTTTTTCCACACAGAAACCACGTTTTGTGTTATATTTATTTATTTATTATTGTGAACTTATTTTATTTATTTATTGAAAATATACGTCTAGAAGACTGTGCTTGTAGTGAAAGATTGTTTCACTAATCTGCACTACTAACCATGCGTCTGTTTATGTCCATTCTGATCCACTGCACATCCAGGTATTGTGAGTTGCATTGCTTCTTCAAATCAAGGACTCAACCACGTCAGCACAAAGAGGAGGTGCCTCCCAACAATCCACAGCAAGATAAATCACTTTTTCTCTGCTTCAAATTTTCATTGCAGTGTACTCTTTTTTAAACTATTCTTGGAGTAATAATTATTACATTAGATGTTTATATAAAAATGTAATAGCTTAGACTTTTAAAAAGGCTTCTACCCTGTTAAGAAACACTGAGAATGCTTATATTAATGTTGCAAACAATAAGTCACATGAAGATATTTAGTTATTACATCTGTAGCAATGGTTAATGGTTTTGATTTGACTCGTTTGTTTTTCAGGTTAACTCTGTGCATTATTTTTTTCATTCATATTATTAAATAAATAAATAAAAAATGTCCTGAGTTCAGGGTACTCCCCACCCATAGTGATGGCTTGATATGGGCACCAATGACTTCTGCAACCCAGAAAGTAATAAGCAGGTAAAACAATAATGGATGGATATGTTTGCTACAAAATAAATAAATAAATAAATAAATAAAATAAAAACTAATCAATATAGTTTTGGTTAGTAAATGTGGACATGTAGGTTAAGTAGTGTTTTATTTTGTTTGTGTACTTAATGGTGTGTGAAAATCATTATGTAACGATGAGAATATTTTCAAATAATATCAGCAGCCATCCTGGCATCAGTACTCAGGGCTTTTAGTTAATGTCATTATTCTCCTCTCTTTATGAGTAGCCATGACACTGTATGGTGATAATCTTTTGTCATATTTCTGTATTTGGTACCTTGTGGTATGTTCACACAGGTTGTGTTTTTGCAGAATTCTCCATTAATCTATTTACACATTTTTATATGCATGTCATCTTATGCTCCCCTATTTAAGCCCATGTGCTTAACCCTAACCCTAACTCTATTCTCCTATTTCAATTAAACAACATAAAGAACAATAAAAAGTTGTCATTGCCTGCAACGTTGGAGTTATTTGAGCCACTGAACAACATTCCAATGTGAATCTACAATTGACTGTGATTCTTTATAAACTGGTTCATCAGGTGGGACGCTGGTGCTTTGGGCACACCTATTTCTGTGAACAGAAGAAAGATCAGCTGAGAGGATGGTGAAGGCTGGAGGAGGGACGTCCTAATGAAGTGGGAAGTCGGGCCTTCTTGTTAATGTTCGGTTGAAGACCTCTAACAAACATTCTATCGAGTACAACGGCGAGAAGAGGAAAGAAAATTAAGGACTTGGACGTTTGGATGCCATGCTCTGAACACTGCTCTGTAGCTAAAGTTAACCTGGAATTGAAAAAGCTCCTGCTACTTCCTCACACCTCCACTCTTCACATTCTGCAGCTCAAATCCCAATGGCAAAACGTGATCCGGTAAGTCTTTACATCTATTTTCCCCTAAGTTGAAAACCTTTTTAATATTCTGTCTCTTGGACTTTAGTTTGACTCCAAACTCAAAACAGTCTTCTGTATAAGTAAACTCTGTTAATCAGTGTCAGGCTGCAGCTCTTCATTCTTTGCTTGCTCTGTTTAAGTTTCTGTGCAGTCCATTAGGTTATAAACCTGTGCAGCCATTACGAGAGTAAAACACACCTTTCTGTCTCAGGCTTATACAAAACAAATTGTTTCTATTGATCTGACAAGCAGCAGGTGCTATCAGGCATATGTTTCAGTTTCAGTGTGGCACAGTTTTTATTTAAAATCTCTTTCATGTAGTTAAATGACAATACAGTATTTCAACTAAAAAAATTTTTTTGGAAGACATAAAAGTGATTTTCAGTTTCATGTCATTTATAAATGTATGTATGCGTTTGAATAGTTTATTTAAAATATTTTAAGAACGCTTAATTTAACAACAAAAAAAGTCTTGTGCGATCACTTGTTAAACCCTAATAACCTTGTAATAAACAAATCAGTAGACTAAAACTGTTAAAAACACTCTTATTCATTAAAAAAAATTATTTGAGGATGTTTCAAATGCTATGGTTTACTATATATAATATTTGAAGAGAAGTGCACAATGTACAAGAATTTAGGGAATAAAAAAATATCTGATTACAATTATTTTATAGCTGGAACTTGACTGATTTCTTTTAACCATGAGAGTGGAAGTATTACAAAGCAAAGCTTAAATGTATGTATGTCATAATTCTGTATTTGTACATCACTTGATCATAAAAAAAGTGTCTTGTTTCGTTGTTCCTTGTATTTTACCACAATGAAAGACAACAGACAAACTTTGCAACGTGATCAGGTACTGTAAACTCTTTTGTGAAAAATGATAAACCTCCACCTATCTCCCCCCAGCTTGCCTATAGAAACTGGGCTGTAACCTCATCTGCAGGGGCAGGTGCAAAAACGTGACATGCTTGGAGTACAAACTTTTGTGAAAAACAACTTATGAGTCCTCCTAAAGCTCCCTTATTTTGTGAATCTCACAGTTCATCTCTCTCCCTCCTTCCTGAGTTTATTCAAGCAAACTATAACGATGACGAACATAAAAAGAAGTTCCAACGTTGCAAAGAAATAAATAAAGATCTTGTACATCTCACTGAGGAGCCTCCAGATGAACAGCATTCTTAAATATTTTTATCCTAATAAAACAATCCGTTGAAGAGAAGATAAAAGACTCATCACAAAACTGTGTCATGACATAGTTTCACTCTGTAAATTATTTCTTGACAACAAACCTTCAATCAGGCCATGCCGTCGTTCAATTAAGTAAGTCACATAACATTCAAGTTCAGCCACATAACATACAATGCATTTTCTTTTCCAGTAAGCTCCATTAATGCCTTCCAGGAAACTTTCCAGTAAGTTAGCATGCAATATTGTACTTTATCACTGCATTATATGTATCCAAAACTAATATCCTAAAAAAAAAAGGTTTACAAATGCTTATTGTGCTCACAAGGTAGTAACATAGTCTGAAATGTTTAACATGACAACTCTAGATAGGTGAACAGATTTGGCAAGAAACTGGTCAGTTGTGGCTCTGTCAGCCTTAATGAATGCATAATAAGCAGTTATTAATGATTTATAAAGTGCTTTAAGACTTCTTTGACTCGGTATGGCATCAGCCATCTTCTATGGTGTTGTTTGTTGGAGCAGCAGCTTATCATCAGCTGAGAAAAGCAGCTAGATAAGCTCATCAAGAAGGCCAGCTCGGTGCTTGGATACCCCCTGACCCAGTGCAGGTGGTGGGAGACAGAAGGACTCGAGCTAAAATAACATCATTGTTGGACAACGTCTCCCACCCCATGCATGAAGCTGTTGCTGAACTGGAGACTCATTCAGTGACAGATTGCTTCATCCTAAATGCACAAAGGAGCGTTATGGCAGGTCCTTCCTCCCAGCAGCTGTTAGACTCTACAACCATCACTGCTCCCAACAAACTCAATAAGGATTAAATACATGCTGACCTCTGCTAAAACACACACTCTGCCTGTACTACTGTACTGTAAATAGTATCAATTATCAACCCTTATCAATGTTCCAACACATATTGAACATTATTATTGATATTGTTTATCTTATTTCTTTATATATTGTTTTTAACATTTAGGAACTTTTGTGTGAATCTTTTTATATGTTGCTGCTGTTACACTTGAATTTCCCATCCATGGAACAATAAAGGCTGTTTCTATTCTATTCTATTCTATTCTATTCTATTCTATTCTATTCTATTATATTATATTATATTATATTATATTATATTATATTATATTATATTCTTATAGGGGAATTAATAATGCATCTGTAAACTATTTATTAACTTTATTGTAGAGTGGTACCAATAATATTTATGAGAAATTTGTGTACGGCACAAATAATTAAAAAACAAAACAAAACGTGAATTTACATGACACTTAGCAGTATGTCTGTGAGTGTTATATACTTTTTGATATATTTATGGTGGGTCCACTTCCACAAATTTTGTAAAAAAAACAACAACAACATAAACAACAACAAAAGAAAAGAATAAGAACAAGTGAAGAGGTGTTGTCTTTGATAACATTTTCATTCCACTTGTACACAATAGAAATAATAATTAACTCACAACCAGGTGAAATAAGCACAGCACAGCAACTTTTTATTAAAGGTGTCAGAAACAAACATCAAAATTATATTAATTTAAACAAGTAGTTTAAAGTTGTGGATGATACAGTATATTGTCTGATTTAAGTTTGTCTAAGAAAGAAAAAAGTTTTAGTTTCAGGGTTTTTTTTTACACATAAGGAAAAAAATAAATGAATAAAAACATTGAAACTTTGTTAGCTAATCTCATGGCTTTTTATTAACTTTTTTGGGGGGTGACAGTAGCTAAACTTCAACTATTTTCAGAGAAACAGGATGTGAATGTCGACTGAGGAACACAAACGCATAGTCGCTGTATAAAATGACAAACAATGAGTTCATAACTTTAACAAGAAAAGAATCTGAAGAATTTGTAGCGTTTGTTTATTCCACATCATTTCAGTGAGTTTCAATCAGAACCTTTGCCCAGCCTTGTGTGACTATCTCCTCCTAAAACCTCAGTTTTAGCTGCCTTTCTGCTCCATATCACCCATTTGTAAACTATATTTACTAAAACAAACACTGATTAGGTTGTCTTATCACAAGTTCCAGACACATGACAGAAAACAGATAAAAACAAGGTGTGAATAATAGAGAGTGAAGAAAAACAGAACAGAAAAATGAGGAAATGAACTCAAATCTGAACTTTTCGGCTGTCAAAACGAACAACTGGTAATTTTGCTTTAAGTTTATTACCTTGGTGAGGAATTAAAGATGACTTGGCTGTTGTGTTGTAATTGTATAACCATTTGTTGTTGGCTCAGTCTTGGCAACCAAACAAGTGATCAGTCCAAATTAAATGCCTTTTGTTTTTGTTACGGTAATATGTGGAGCAGGTTTCCCTAATTTAAAAACAAATTATGGACAAAGGACAAATACTTCTCTTTAAACCGTGTAAAACACTTAAAGAGTGATTTATTTTCCTGTTAGTGTCACAAGCGGTGGATTAATGTCGAACCCAAGCGCAGGCAGACCACGGAGACTCGGAGAATAAATAACTAAAACTGTTTATTCAATAAAACAAAGAGCTGGCGTAGCAGCAACATTTTACAAGATAAACGAGAAGACACTGAGGGAGGACCACACGAACGTGGAATCATATCAAGACAGTGCCAGACAACGAAGAACAGGAGTCACAGACTTGTATACAGAAACACTGACAAGAGACTAAAAACATCTGGGACAGAAAATAGGTGTAGGAAGCAGGGACTTGATTACATGACAGAGATGGTGAAGAATGGCAGGGAGCAGAGTCAAATACAAGGATCAGGAAAGGAAGTAAAGACAAGAGAAACACAAAGATAACAGACAAAAGGACAGATTGTCAGAGGTAGTTAAGATGTTTAAAGTTTGGTTCTAGAAAAGATATGAAGAACTAAAAAGTTCCTGGAGAAACTTTGATGGGCATTGCGACGTGGTCGTTATTTTAAAATTTTGATTTGACAGTAGTAGTTTGACAGAATTAAAGTCATTTTTTTCTTTTAAGCTATGGGGGCCATCTTGGATTTTTGACTTGAATTCCTTATGTGATTGCAAACATTCTCAGCTACTATCACACCAAATTTCAGCTTGATGTGTAAAAAATAGCTGAGTTGAAGCCATTTAAATGTAGCCTTGGTGGCCATCTTGAATTTTTTTTAAAGTTAATTATTTATTGGGTATTGCTCTCATCTACTACCACACCAATTTTCAGCTTAATATCTCTAAAATGGCTGATTTACAGTATTTTTCCTCTTTTTTTTTTTTAGCTCAGATGGCCAGCTTGGATATTTGATTTGCAACCAGAATCTATGAAAAATGAGTAATAAAAAATGGCATATTTGTTTGCAAATTACGTCGCCATGTTAATTCGAAACGCCAATAAATGTAATAACACACATCACAGTACCAAGCCAGTCGTTTTGATATAACTTGTGAGGGTGCACATTACGGTTCGGGCTGCATTAAACTTAAGTAAGATATAAAGTTAAGAAACCTTTGTCAGGTGGATAATAATATGTGGCTGCCTTACTAGGCAGTCCCCAATTAGGATCTTGTTGAAAATAGCTCTTTGAGTTAACAGTTAGAGAAACATTAGTGAACATCTGACCAGATGTATGAGATTGGCTAAAGCGCAGTCTTAACCTCGCTTTGACTAGTTGTAATTTTGTCAATCCGAATTAACTCTAGCTTTTCAAACTGACGTCCTTCGAAGAGTAATCTACAAAAGTTAAGATATGGCTGAACCTTTCCACTGAACTGAATTCCACTTTTCTTCTCAGGGCAAATACCCTCCTCCTCCTCGCTACTCTGTAGCTGTACACAGCCAGCCCCCTCTCACATCTAATGGACAGGGGTATGGCTCCTACCCAGAGGTGAATGGCATTTACCCAAGCCTGAAACTTTCAAGCCAGCCAAGTTACATCCCCCAGTATCCACCACCTGTGGTCGCTCCACAAGTCACTGAAATCGGCCCACGTGAGTGATCGATGCAGCCGCCCACAGCTGATAAACACAATCAACAAATGTGTGCAGCCCTCCAGGAACATTATGTTTTTGTTGTCGATTGTATTCTCTCTGTATGTATCCAGCCCCGAAGGAGAAAAAGAACTGCTGTGAAGAGAAAGCACAGATTTACAAGGTGACTGCAGCAGTCATAGTGCTGCTGGCTCTGCTGGGAGTTGGCATCTGGCTTGGAGGTATAGCACTTTTCGTACATGTCTAATCAAGATAATACTTAACATAGATATTGTTATTGAAATTATCTCCCAAATCCTTAAGTTAAGCTAACAAATATGGCATTTTATTATGTATCATTTTAATGCTCCTCTCATAAATGTGTTTGCCTACTTATATGACAATATTGATGTCTAATATGTCTATATTTGTTCCCATTATCATCTATCCTGCCTCATCTACAGTTTATTATGGCACCAGCACACTAAGAAGAGAGGTTTTCATCATACCTGACAATGAATACAATGGACCATATGGTGTATATCAGAGAGTGAATGACACCTGTCCCAGCAATTTTACTCAATGTGATGGTATAAAAGACTGTCAATTGGGCACAGATGAAACATACTGTGGTGAGTATGCTGACAAAGACTTCACCAGCGTGACTTTGGTGGAGGCTGGTCATAAAATGGCAGGAGCTTTGTCAAATGCTAATTAAACCAAGAACAAAACGGATGCAAGCAAAAGCTGCATAAGGATAATTTTTAAATTAAAACAGAGGGAGCCCAATGCAGTTGTGGTTTGTTAAATCTGCCTTATTAGTTTAGAATAAATACAAACAGGCTAGATAAAGAAAACGTTCATTTTTTTAAATTTTATTTTCATTTTCACTATTGTCTGTCTTAAGAGAAGCAGTGCATGTTCGACTGTTTATTTCCTCATCTTTTGCAGTGCGATTTGGTGAAGGCAACAGTCTGCTGGTCAAGACAGCTCAAAGAGACTTCCTCCCAGTCTGTTACAGTGGCTGGGACACAAACTATGCCAACCAGATCTGCTCTCAGCTTGGATTCAGACAGTAAATAGTTACAACTCATATATATATATATATATATATATAAAGTGCAATTTTATCAAATCTAGCTCAAGGTCAAATTAATTAAAGCTATTAAAAAAAAACGTAATGTAACAATTTTTCCTCTTTTCTGACCTATATATTATATCTCGCACATTTCAGTAAGAAACATTTCTGATAGTTTCCCGTGATCTGTTTTACCAGCAGCCACTGAGCACGGGGACTAGCACACACACATGCTCTTGTGTGTTTAGACTCAAATTGATTCTTCACCAAAACTGTTGAGGTGTCTCAGTTTGACAGGACCAAATTGAGGTTTCAGACCCAACCAGGCACTGATTTGATTAAACTGTTTCTGCGTTAGCCAGTTTATTTATTTTTTACTATGTGAATAACACTTCTTTCCATCTCTAGGTCCTTTTCATCAAATAAAATGAATTCCCAGGGTTCCCCTGGTTTGAAACTGAACAGTGGATCACCATCTTCTCTTATCCAAGCTTCAGTGGGCGTCAAGTAAATAGCATACCTTGTCACGTGCAGTCTCTTGGTTGGTGGTGCGTATTTGCTCTAACTGGTATGTGTGTCTCATTGTGGCATTTTGCAGCTCTTCCTGTCCAAACCAGGAGTCTGTGTCACTGCAGTGTGTAGGTAAGAAGCTTCCATCAGTTTGAATGATAAAACAGAAGCTCACATTTATTTTCTTTCAGTGTTTTAACTCGGTTATATGGTATCTGTAACTGAACAGACATGAGCATAAATTGCCTTACATCATGAATGGCCAAATTAGTGCTGTATATAGTCACTATGTATATGTGATAAAACCCAAATTACAGTTGTTTGTTAGTTTAAATCTGAAAAAAAAAAAAAAAAAAAAAAGACCAAATTAAAACCGTTATTTATAACTATAAGTTTACACCCATCAGGCTCTCTGTTAGGTACACCTCTGTAGTTGGACCTTGTTGCCATCAGAACCACCATATTTCTTTGTGGCATAGAGTCAGCAAGGTGGAAACCTTCCTTGGAGTCTTTAGTTCACATAGATATGAATGCATCACACAGTTGTTGCAGAATTGTCTGATGCACATGCATAATGCAATGGAAATCTTCTGTTCCAGCACATCCCAAAGCTGCCTCATTGGTTTGAGATCTAGAGACTTAGACTAGGCAGTTTTTTCAGTCTCCTATTGTGCAATTTGGTGTACCAGAATCAATTTTAGTCTCAATTTCCAGTCATTGGCTGAGACAAGTGGCACCCGATGCAGTCTTCTGCTGCTGTAGCACATCTGCTTCAAGGTTACACGTGTCTTCCGGCAAACCTTAGTTGTAAATGAGTGATTATTTGAGCTATTGTTGTACCAACATGTCACATTCAAAGTCACTTTAATTCCCCTTCTTCCCAATTGTGATGCCTGATTTGAACTTTAGCAAGTTGTGCTCATCATGGCTAGATGCCTACATGCATTGAGTTGCTGCTGTGTAATTGACTGATGAGCTTTTGGTTTGAACTGGTGAAAGAGGAAGTGAAAGTGCTATGTACTATCACTGGATGATCCCATACAATGATGAAATTTGGGCATTTATTCCATTGCACATGAAATACATGAGTGGAGAAGCAAGCAGCCATTTGAGTCAGGGAGCAGGTGGGGAATAGGCGTCCTGCACAAGGACACCATGACATATGGACATGATGGGGAATTGAACCTGCAAGTTTCCAGTTCCATCAGTTGCACTGTCATTGCACCTCACCATAATATGGTGGTTAACCTAAAATGGTGTAACTAATAAAGTGGCTAGTGAGTGTATGACAGATGTTTCAACAAAACTAGCTTTTATAAGAGTTTTATTTTTATGTTGCTAACCTAGAGTACCTTGTAATATTTCTTATTCTCAGACTGTGGTAGGCGGCCAGCTATGTCCCGGATCATTGGGGGCACTGCAGCCAAATCGGGTGAATGGCCTTGGCAGGTGTCACTTCAATTCTTACGACACCACACCTGTGGTGGTAGCTTAATCTCACCTGATTTTGTTGTGACTGCGGCTCACTGCTTCCCAAGGTGAGTGTTTCAGAAAGAAACTGTGCAATTATGAAGTTTTATATTTGTTTTCTGACCATAAATAAAAAAAGTCTCATTAATCCTAAAAGTTGAATTGCAACACAATTTATGTTGAACTTAAATTAACTCATTACACATCAGCTACTTTATAGTTATCAGTCTCTTTTTTTATGATTGTGGCAGCCCTGAATACCGCCTTGCTCAGAATTGGAAAGTTTACGGTGGATTTATGTCTCTGAATGATCTACCATCTCCCTTCTTGGTTGAGAAAATCCTAATCAACGAGAATTATAACAGCAAAACCAATGACCAAGATGTTGCTCTGCTCAAACTCAAATATCCAGTAACTTTCACTGGTAAGTCTTTACCTTATTAACAATTTTTGATTTAGTCTGATACCTGCCCTCTGCACATAACCACTCATCAGCTATAAGAATAGTTGTTGTACAGGACTCTGACTCTGTTTGTTTGTCAGAAGGTGCAAGGTTTGGTTTGGCAGCACTGATTTAATGCCACCAAAACAACACTGACACATTCATCCATCCATCCATCCATCCATCCAGCTATCCATCCATCCATCCATACATACATACATACATACATACATACATACATACATACATACATACATACATACATACATACATACATACATACATACATACATACATACATACATACATACATACATACATACAGACAGACAGACATACATGGAGTAATTAATTGACCATTCATTCATTGATCCATTGATTGACCCATCCATCCATCCATCCATTCATCCATCCATCCATACATGCATACATACATACATACATACAGACAGACATACATGGACTAATTAATTGACCATTCATTCATTGATCCATTGAATGACCCATTCATCCATCCATCCATTCATCCATCCATACATACATACATACATACATACATACATACATACATACATACAT